TACTTAAGAAACATAAACCGTGTGATATATTAATTTTAAAATATTCTTAGATGTGCCGATTTTAAACTTTATTCTAGTAACAATTTAAAAAACGTTACAACGTCATTTAAATGCAGTAATGTTATAATAATTTTAATACTACGAGTAATTTTCTAAAAAAGACTGTCACAAAAAACTTTCCAAACATTTTTAAATTTCGTGTAAAATACAACATTATTCATAGTAATAATTTTAATAACGAACGAATAATTTACCGAAGATTATTATTAAGAGAAAGGTCCGAAAAATTCCAATAAATTCACAGATTATCGTATAGAGAGAATTTATAAGCCCCTTCTCTTTTAGTTTCGTAACAAAGATTCAGTTAAACGGTTTCACGAGATAACAGCTGGATAGAAACGATTGCGTCCGCGGGCTGCGGGGTCAACGTGGCACAGATTCGCGTGCTAGGCATCGTGGTGTTGGATTCGCCAGGCGGAGTGCATGAAGCGGAATGAGAGAGATCGGTTCGTGCACTCGTATGTAGAAGCGTACGTATCGCGAGACGACGAAGCGTAACGCACATACACAAAGAAACGCATGCACACATACACGCACGCAGCGGGACGAGCCATTGCCGTTGGTGTTGGTCGATCAATATACTATGCTGGTGGAAGCGAGATGAGAGGAGGAAGCTGAAGGGCACGGTAGAATGGGAAAGAGGGAGGAGGCATGGTTAAAGCCGTGGACACACTGGACCGATATTTGCACAATGCGCAGCCGAGAAAGTCGCGTGTTCGGGATTTTCTCGCTGATCCACCTTGCCCTCCAAATCATAGAAATTAGCGGAGCGTATGTTGTGTTATTCCTGATAAGATTTCCACATAAGAGAGAAGAGTGAGTCTTTTCTATACTATATTTTTGTATAAATGCAAATCATCGAAAATGTCTGCAATTTTAATGTAATAAAAAATGACATATATTTTTGATATAAAAATTAAAAATTTTTTTTGAGATTTTTATATTATAAATTTATGTTTTGTTATAGCAATTTTTTTAAGGTTTCCCTATAATTACTGGGCAACAATTTTAAAATAATTCTTTCTGAGAAAGCTTATTAACTAGTGAATAAAAAATTTGATGGAATTACGGCATTCCAGCCTCTTTCATATCGGGTCTTTATTGCTATTTTCCAGCAATAGGGATCGCAACGAAGCACTAACATGATATTTTTATCCGAACAGCTATCGATTATCCCGCAACAATACGCGAGGGTTTCTCGCAAGTGGTCAATATCATGTATCGCAACGGCTTGAACTTCTACGTTTCTAGAAATATTATTTCCACACATTTGACCCGTCAAATTGCCGACTTCGACCATCGACCACCGCCAGTCTCTAAAGGTATTCGTGGGCGGTGATCAAAGCGCTTCTACATCGTTTGACTTCTACTTTCTCAGGGTGGTCCTCTTTGAGACGTCACTTTGACGAGCCTTCTCTCCCGACTCCGGAAGAATGCGCATAGGGGTTATCGACCTGTCGCGAGATTTTACCCTCCCCCTTTTACCCCTTCCGAATTCCTTCCTCCGAAGACGTTCCCTGTCCTCTTCGTCTTTTCCTGTTACGTAATAAGTAAAACTGAAGGAAGAGGCATCACGGGAAAACGAGAAGAAAAGAGAAGAGAACACAAAAAGAAAATAGTACAAAAGGATAGTAGAACAAGACGAAATAGATAGAATTAGGCGAGAGGTCTGGTTTTAGAATGTCAAAGAAGAGGAACTACACCAAGTGTTCCGCAAACATCTCGAGGATATATCGCGCCAATTATGCTATTAAAAAACGGAAACCGTGCACGCGTGCGGTTGTATAATTTTCCGGTTCTTCGAGATGCGCGCGAGAAACTGCTCGACAAAAGAGGTCGCATTAGAAATTTTCTGTACGCCACGAGCGTGATTTTTATACTACGTTGCCGTTAGACTGCCGTTAGGTCCGAGGAAATCTTGCAGGATTCATAATTTCACTTGTTCTTTCCCACGCTCTTCTTTCTGAGGTTTTCGTTCTCGTGTGTTTAACAGGAACTCTCGAATCTCGAACGCGCTTGGTCCACATTCGCGGTTTCTTTGACAAGAGAGCAAATACGTAGAATAGCTGTGTTGAAGCCATAATAGCGCCTAATAGTTTGGCTGTAGGAACGTATTGCGGACCACCTAGCGTTAATCGAGCTGATCGAAACGTGTACACGCGTGAAAAGGAAGGGCGTGAACCAAAGCACAGGGTCAACGGTCTTCGCTATGTCCGTTTAAGAGACTCGAATGAAACGAATGATCGACGCGGCTCCCACGATGCGCGATGCCGATCATCGAACCGGCGACCGTCGTCCCGTGAAGCGTAACCCCGTGACCGTCGATCCTTAAAGTCACCTTCCTCTTATGCTCGGCCAGGTTACGTATCGAGACGTTCCGAAAATCCAAGATTAATATTACAATCCGATATAAATAGCTAATGATATTAAAGAAAGACATTGAATTTCGAACAGAGTGACCAATTATCGTATACGTTCAACGTGACGTTAAAATTTATCCATCGCGTGACGATAAAACGGAAAGCTAATTCTTTCAATCGAGTCCGTTCAGTCCTGAGATCAGAATGACATTGGTAATAATTATATCAACATATACAAGGTGAGATCGATGTCTTTATCTTTCGCGGACGTGTAACAGACTTACCAACACGAGAAACACACTGGGGAGAAAGCAGGACAAACGGAGAAAGAGACTCCGTCCGACAAGAGTTATGACGGTTGTTCATGATAGCTCATGGCACTGTGAAAACACACAGTGTCCAGATTTAAGAACCGTGTTAGCTAGAAATGTCTAAAAAATTACACAAACTCCTTCACGATCATGCAAAAATATCTTAAGGATCGATTTATCTATTAATAAAAAATTGTCACTTAAACAATTGAGATTTGACCGATATTACGGAAATCATATCATTTCGATTTGAAAAATCCTAAAGCTTTGTCAGTTATGTAAAAGTAGATCAGTAGAAACTGAGACTTTCCTTTTGATAAATAAGAAGAATTCCGAGGAGTTAAAGAACATTTGACATCTTAGGAAACTCTGTGGCGTTTCCATGACGAAATCGCTTCCCTGAAGAAGTCCAAAGGGAATCCACGTGAAACTACGCCAATGCGGAAGAAAGACTCTGCGACACTCATCGTTGCACCTTGTCGCGGAAGGAGCCTGTATCGATCCTCGCTGCGATATACCTAGGCGACAAGCCGAGAGAGCAAGTAGAATCGAAGTGGTATTGGCGAGATTCGTCGCTAAAGAGTTCATTCGGCGAGACCTAATTTAGCCAGCCTGTCGATATGGGACACCCTTGCGGCCGGCGGTGTTCCATTGACGGCGAGATTAGAACGGTAGTTTCCAGAACGCGGTTACAGCGATTTGCCTGCGAAGACATTCACTTGAGTTGAATATACCTCGAGATGTGAGCGAGAATCGCTGACGAAATGCATTCGAAGTCAGATAGCAGTCTCGAAACATAATATTTGATCATATTTATACTTTTGTTAATTCAAATTCACTCAAAGATCACTTCCTTTCCATCAAAAGAAAGCTGTGTGATATCTAATTCAAATTTTCTTGAGAAAAGATCTTCCAATTTTTGGGGACAATCTCGGTCTAAAGTTTATCACGCCACGTGTAAACGTATTAAGCACATCTGCAACAAATATTCATATTTACATCGCGGAAGAGAATTTGTATCAGATAAGTCGGTTAGATCATTGAGTAACGACGATATAATCTGCATGCGACACGACGTTAATTAAACGAATGCTAATTTCTGACACGACGATAGCACGAAGAGCACGTAGCTTGGGTTAATTAACGTATCGATCAAAACCGTGTTAATTAACGGCAAATAGTCTACTTCTGCATTGGAACATTCCCAATTAATCTTCGTGCGTTGCATATGGGAGCGTTCGAAATTTTTTCGTTCAATTTCGCTCTAACATCTTTCGATACGTCCTTATAAAGTGCCAATTTGTTACTTGTCTACTACTTCAATCATTCTCAACTGTTATTAGTTTAAAAAAGGATATTTGACAATTATTTGTGATTTCGTAACGTCGTAATACCTGTTATCATCAAAATTTCTCATTGGCAGATCTTGATAATAGATGTTGCAGCAACGTTACGAAATCATAAATGATTATCAAATATCTTCCTTCCAGCTAATAATAATTGAGAATGATTAAGGTAGTAGATTAACAAGATTGCACTTTAGAAAGACGGGTCGAAAAGAGCTCGGCGAAATTGAAATAAAAAAAATTTCCAAAGTTCCTTATACTTAATGCGTTTACACGTGGCGTAACGAACTTCAGACTAAGATTGTTCCCAAAAATTGGAAGATCTTTTTTCAAGAAAATTTGAATAAGATATCACAGAGCTTTTCTTAGATGGAAAAGAAGTGATCTTTGAGCGATTTGAATTATTAAAAGCATAAATACAAATAAATCTATTTTGAAACTGACTTTGAATGCATTTCGTGTGTGATCCTAGTTTGTATCTCAAGGCACATCCAAGTAAAATCAGCCAAGGATGCGATGAAACTTAGTAAAATGCGAATACTTCTTCTATCTATGCGGGAACGTCCCCTTTCCCAATATCACGCGCGACCGATTTTGCAACGCAAGCATGACTCGATTTATCACAGGACAGAGGGTTCTGCTCGTCGGGGTCTAATATAGATGCATTCCATCCAACTTTCCAGCCTCGCATGCGATCAATCTCGCAACGAGATCGGGATATCTCGTCAACACGACTCCTCGTCGACGGTCACGTCCGACAAGATCGATCTGGAGCTCTCGCGATTTCACGAGCGGTCCTTCGGCTGGTTCACGTCGCATCGTTTGCCGCATGATGATACCAGAGATACCAGAGATATCAGAGGTGATATGAGAGAACGCAGTAAACCCTACAGGATAAAGATCATGCCAGCGGGACCACTCACCTTGACGAAATGCAGGTTCTCCTTGTCGAGGAGGAACTCCATGGACTTGTGAGGCCGCTGGTGGATGGCGGACGTTGCGGCGGAGGCGACGTCGTCGCGGGGGCTCCTGTGCGTAGCGCCGACGGGCGACTGGGGTACGTGGAGGGCGTGCTCGGGCCGCGGCCGCGGCGCCGCCGCCGAGGTGTGGTTGAGGTCGAGCAGGCTACGGGTCTTCTTACCACCGGCGCC